CAGAATCACCCTATCTCTTTCTCTCCAGGGCGTCGTAGCGTGTCTTGCATGTGGCACGAAGGTAATCCCAGGCCAGGAGATCCGCATCATAGTGCCTGGGCCCGATTTCTCATCGAGGGTGTGGGCTCCATCCTCAGACCGAACCCAGAGACATCCGCCTCTCCAACGGCTGCAGGGCACGATCAGGCTTGTAGAGCCAGGCTCGTTGTTGTTATCTTGGTGCATATGTACCAGAACGTTGCGCTGCAATGTAAGCGATGAGAAGACATGTCTCGGATCCGCACCGCGAAGAATGGAGGTAAGCAGCAAAGTTGTCCACGGGTGCGAATGCGTGGTGCCCCCCAATGGCAAAGGCTCCATGCTGCAGCAGAGAATGATCGTTGACCAGGCAATTGTTCACAAGCATTCCTCCGCCGCTTTGCCTGCTTCACCATAGGAAGGGCGTCTAGTAGCCGGGCGATGTCCTCGAACCTAGCCAATCCTTGTCAAAGGATGTCCTTAGCCAACGCATCAGCCTCGTGGGACGGATCAGCTAAGCAGGGCAGAACGCAATCGGCAGTCGAGTCGTGGGCGTCGGTGGCGGCGGCGGTGGTGGTGGATGTTAGATATTGGATGTTCACGTTGATGTTGTTGTTGTTGCTTCTGATGGTGGTGGTTGTTGTGGTGTAGTGCCATAACAAGTTAGACCTCAGTGGTGTTAACAGATTCTTCTTTAGTTGGGACTCCGGACAAATGCGATCGTCACGATCAACAGCCGTGTGGTGCATGCTTACCATTCCGATACACGGCTCGTTGCATGTAGCAGTCCGTTGCCAGGAACTTGTTCCACTGCAGCTGTGTCAACAATCTGTCATCGCCACCTAACTTTCTGCTACAGCCACAGCGCCGATAAGCAGTCAAGCAATGGTACGAATCGGCGGGAGAGGGCATGAGATCAAGGTTAATGCCAGTCGAACTACGGATCCCGAACAAGTTTGAACACAATAGAAAGACAATCTCCAACCTGCAATATGTGTATGGTGACCGTCGTGCCTGCATGCAGTCGCTGAATGTACTGATGCCGTTATATGTGACATGCACATCGGCTTTTGGGCCCAATGATTTCCAGGAGCGACACGCTTAGCTAGAGCTGAAAACTTCATGGTTGCTTGAAAATGGTTCCATCATCAGCTTAAAATGTTTAGTAAGTTTAGTAACTTCCTTCCATCGCCGGCCAAGGAACAAGCCAGACCCGATGCCACAGGAGTTGGCTTTCTTGTTCACGAAGATCACGCCTGAGCAGATGATTTATATGTGGAATGCCCTTTGGACAAACTGTGCGCTTGTGGTAGAGTTTTGCCGGTTCGACAATTGTTCCAATCCTTGACAAAAAAACGCAACCGGACAAGTGCGACGAGCTCTCAGGAATTTTTTAAAAATTTCTTTTGTACGTCGAGTGTGTTGTTGGTCTTGACGAGGTTCTTACCTTCATCTTCTGTCTGCAGTGCTTGATGATTCTTGCATACTGCGCCGCTCTCGCAACCTTCCCGGAGAGCTTCTGGACTTGCACGCTTTGTTTTGCCGTTCCCTTTGCGTATATCTGCATTCAGCAAATCTACATCGACCACGATGCAACTCGGACCGCAACAGTCTAAGGAGAGAGAAGGGCAGAGTGGCACAATGTGTGCATAAATGCACGTAAGTGTATATGATCAGCCTATCGATCCGTCGATTTATCAATCTGTCGATCTATCTTTTTACCGGTCGATCTGTCAATTTGCATCCGCTGGTCTGTTTTGTTTATCTGTTCAAATGCAGCGCGTGTGCAGGTCCGCGCGCAAACGAAAGGCGTGAATTTGAATCCACCTAGGGACCACAGTCACTACGCCAGGCTGACCATGACGACCACGACCACCAGGAGACCGCCAAGAGACCAGCGACACAATGCAGGAAACCACTCAGACACCAAAGCGCCGAGAAATCATGGTGATAGTGATACCACTGGGAGACCACCACCAGCAGGCCAGCGGGAGACTACCAGGAGGACACCACGGCCAAATTCCTTCACCCCTGAACTGGCGGGATTCGCCTGAAATGAGGCCAATATTTTAATGTAGTGGAATCTACAATGAATCGTGCTTTCTGCAGGGATTCTGTAATTTGACAGGGGCACCAGCTGTGCACCGCACCAGAAAGGCCGAGCGGAACAGTGACCAATTCGCTGCGTATGCAAGAACCGCATCGTGTATACGACATTGCTCGGGGATTATTGGGGTGTGTTGATTGGTGCATGGGACGATGGAAGGTGGGGTTCGTCCCCATCCCAAGGTTGGTTGAGGATCATGAGTTTTGGGGTATTCAATATGTCTTTCCCATCCCCACAACTAATTAGTTGAGCTCCTTGGCTGTGTCTCTGTTCCTTGCCCTGAGCCTCCGAACTATGCCTCCTCCAGGTAATGCATGGTGTGACGTTCCCTGTATACGAGTTCCAGAAGCGGCCAGCAACACGTTCAGCATACTTTCCTTCGCATGCTGGTGGGTATTTCAGCTAGCAGCTAAATATCATTAAAATATATAGGTTAGCATCGGTTTAAGTCAAGAGCATCAGGGCGTCTCTCACGCGGTCAGAAGCTGCAGGTTTATCACGCACCCGTTCAGCGACTTCATTTCCTTGCCGTGGGAAGAGTTCGTCCTGGAGCATGCCCGGCATCATGCAAGCACTGTGGACTTGCTCATCCAGGGTGAGTTCGGTTGGGACCCCGAGGAGTTCCACTATGCATTGCAGCAGTGGGCAGGACCCATGGGGCCAAACTGGTACAAATACTTGTTGACTGTCCCCTGGATCCCGGTGATTCACTTCTTCGGACTCAATGACACAGGCTTTCTCTTTGCCCTTGAGTGGTGGATGAGTTTCCCGGAAGCTGATGCTAGCGGGAAATGCAACAAGGAATTCTGGACAAAATGGATGCCTCGACGTGTGAAGCACAACGCCGTGGTCCTTGGGCTGTGGGCCTGTGTTTGGCTACTGGGAACGTGGCCATTGGGTAGGCCATTGAGCGAAGGTTGGCGATTCGTTCTTCCTGTGACGTGCGCGGCACGTGTGGGCTTCTCCCTCGCCTGGATGTTTATCACCAACTTTACGCATTCCCTTCCTTGGAACAAGTTTTTGGAGAATGACCCTGCTCGGACCTGGCCAAAGCTGCACAACATCATGGCTCTTGCTGTCGGTGGGAAGCACCGCTGGAACGAGATGTTGTTCCACGATGTCCATCATTGCTTCCCAAACGCCATGGGCACACTCAGCCAGCGGGGCCGTTTCCATGGATGGAAGAAGGCCGGCCAAGGGGAGAAGCGAGTGTCAGCCACCCCTCATACAGGCCCTAAGGCCCTAAGGCAAACCAAAGAGAAAGAGCAGCAACCGGCTCCTGAGGTGCACGATGCCTGCGTTGAGGTCTTGGCGCGGGGGCTCTGGAAGCCGAACGGGGACGAGGAAACGGAGATGATGAAGTCTCAAAAGAAGCGCTCCGCCCTAATGAAGCAGGGAATGGCTTCATAACATGTTCACCTGTACAGACATGTCGAAAGTTTACAATAGCTTGCCAAAGTCCTACAGACTCTGGCTGTGAACCCCAGCACTGCGCGGTGAGATGCCAATGTCACAGGGCCCGCATGCTGGTTCGTTTTTGTGGGCCACCAGGCACCTTGTTCTGTCTCGGACAGAGGTCAAGTCGAAATGGGCTGGGCCCCACTGTTTGTTTGCGTACTGACATACTGCCATGATTGGTTGTGGCAGTGCACATGTGTGAAATTCCTGCACGCTACCACGATTGGTCGTGGGCACGTGCGTGAAATTCATGTGAATATCCAAGACTGAAGGTGCTGGCAGTTCTGCAAATCGGGCACCAACTTTACTTGCACCTTTAGGTTAAGATAGCTTTAATTAGGATGAGTTATGGTCCTGAATCCCAAAGGGTGCCCCAACTGTGGATGCTGTCCCTGAAGCTCGGTCTTGACGAGGTTCGAAAAGCTCACCAGGTGTGCAGCAAGTGCGCCGGAGCGAGCAGATTGTGACCTTTTGCAGGCGGAGAGATTTCAGTGACGCCGCACATCTTGACGGTTCAGGTGCCTGCGAGAGCATGATTATAGCAGACGCCGTTTCGCTTGGCATAGTATGAAAGGACCGCAACAGCAGCTCTCGCCACCTTGATGTTATTCTGCACCGATCCATATTTGTTGTCTCTGCGATGCTAGCGATCCGTTTGTAATGGCCCTTCCACGGATCTTGCACAATGGGGTCGGTGCATCATCAGCATCATGCGCAGGAAATACAGACTAAGAACTAATAGACTCTGTCGTTCTTTGGCCATGGCGGCTGCTGACAGTGAGTCAGCCGCAGCCGCTCCTGGGGGTCATGAAGAGCCATGGCTTTAAAGCATCGCGCTGCTGTGACGATCAATTGCCCACAAACTTACTGGAGGCCACATGTAGCACCTATGGTAACAGGCAGCACTGTAAGAGTCAGCATCGTCCCTTCGTAGTTTCAGGCATGTACATCGATTTGCTTCCGGCTCCAGAAGCACTGCATGTAGGTAATTGTAGGTATGGTTACAGCCCTGTCTTTGTCATTGATTTGTTCATGAGCGAGATGCCGATTACTTGCATCAGCGCTGCCGAACTCGGAATCCGAAGAGCAGCAAACTGTCAAGGCAACCTCTTTCGAGCTTGGAGGATAGACAGTCTCAAATCCAGTCGTAATTCTGCCATGGTCCGAAGCGGCTCAAGCCAACCTCAATCTTGGGCTACATCCGCGGCATTGACACAATCACGGAATCAAACTCAGGGCCGCGGGGCAGGGTGTTGATCTTCAACCCTGAAGCTAAACTTTGGGTAGGTCTCCATGCATTGCGGGTTGGATTTCATCACAGACTGTGCACGAAGGCTGCGCAGTTCCAGCCGAGGACAAGCTACGTGGCTATGACTTCTGGAAATCCATCGGCTCCCCGAAGTACGTTTGCGCGCCGATGGTGGATCAGTCGCAGTCCCAGATAGAGCGGATAGAACTCGAGCTTTTCAGTATAAGCGTCAGACGCTGCTGCTGGCAGATATGTGCAGGACAGTGGTACGTGGTGCTTCTATTTTTGCGTTGTTGTGGGTCTTTTTTTCGCTGTGCTGAGGTCTGAACTAGCCTTCCGCATGCTCTGCCGCCGGTGCTCGCAGCAGAGAGCGCCGAGTCATCGCTTGTTAATTGTCGGAGGGGTGCATCGTGCATAAAAATACTGATTCTCATAGATATACAGAGAGAGAGAGAGAGAGAGAGAGAGAGAGAGAGAGAGAGAGAGAGAGCTAGGGAGACATAAAGGGATAGAGCATATAGATGGAGAGATAGATCGATCGATCGGTAAATGGATAGACATTGATAGACATGGATAGACAGATAGTGCACGTATGTGCAATAGCAGAGATGAGTGTATGTGTTGCTACACCGGCAAGCATGAATGCTTGCTTGCTTGCATGCACGCGATATACATAAATGTATACACACACATAGATAAACATAATATGCATATGTATATGTATGTGTGTATATATATATATATATATATATATATATGTATACACGCATATAATAAGTCTACACATATGTCTATACCAAAAGCATCAACCAATAGACAGAAGTATCCGCCATGTGACACCCTGAAGCCCGTCGTGACTGTCTATACGGTATACGTATGCGCACGAATACGGAATGATACGCATTCAGGAATGGCAAAGGTTGCTATTAAGCCGTTCTTAAGCTGCCAGCAGACACAAAGAAATGCCTATTCGTGTGTTTCTTTGACGATGAATTGCGTTTGTGCGGCAGGTACGGGACAGAGTTGTGCTACACACCGATGCTGACTCTCGCCTGAAAGTGCAGTTCCATGAACGTGCAGAGCGTACTCGATGCCGATCCCCTGGCATGCTTCAGCCAAGGCATTCGCGCATGCGCCGAGCTCGGTTGCTTATGATTTTTCAAGAGAACAAGATCACCTGCGCTAGTAAGAACTTACTATCTTGTCCACCGGCTGATGCGTAGCACAGAGGGCGTCTTCCTTCCTGCCTTCCCTCGTCTCTGCCGGGCTGTCACGGTGTTAGCGAGGGCTGGACGAGGTCATGCTGTGCTAACGCCAAAGAGATAAGAACTGCTTGTGGCGAGCCGTCCACTAAATGCGGGTGGAACCTTAGACCACAAAGCCACTGACGTTTAAAACACCCGGAGGTTCGGTAAGCCCTTCACCCGGACAACAAACTCAAAACTGAGCTGCCTGAGGTTCTCGACGCAGCCCAAGTACCGGAAGGAGCAGTTCTCCACTTGTCCGGAGGCCTGCTTCTATGACGTTGCCGCGTCCTCGAGGCTTTCAGAGCGTAAGACGAGTCTGCTAGCAAATCCGGTAGCAAGCCTGGAAAGGCTAACCGTGCGATGAAGGTTTAGTTTGAGCTGGCTTTCGGACTTCTAGGCACTCGGGTTTGGCAGATGTTGCGCCAATCCCAGGCGCATAGAACACCCTTCACTGCTGTTGTGCGATGTCACCACAGTCCGACGCCTTCAATCCCCCCACAGCTTTGACATTGGGGTGGATCGACAGTCTTGTGTCCAGGATCGCCCACTCTTTGCGCAGTTCTGCGGTGATGATCCCGCGACAGTTCTTGCAGCCGCTCGGTGAGAGGTGTTCGGGTCGCCGTCAATTCGTGCATGGCAGGGCTGCGTCGCACGGCGCACGGCTACAGTTGTTGAGAAATTCGACAGCCGGAGCGGCACAATCAACAGCAGTAACAGCAAAATGATGATCATCATCAACAACAACATCAGCCTAAGCATCATTTCCCTCATCCTCATCTTTGTGTTTTTGCGACAGTAGCCACTGCGGTAACAATAACAACAGCAGCTCGTCTGATGACACTATCTACCTTTTCTAGTAGTCTACTGCAGCAGCAGCAGCAGCAGCAACAACAACAACAACAACATCAACAACACACACAGCAACAACTGCTGCTGCTGCTTGGGTTGCTGCAACGACGACTACTACAACTACTACGACTACCACGACGACCACGACGACTATTATTACGACGGTCAGGTATACGACTACCACTTCGACTACTGCCACTACTACTACCACCATCACCCCCACGATCACAACGACGACCATGACTACTACTACTACTGCTACTACTACTACTACTGCTACTACTAGTACTAGTACTAGTACTAGTACTAGTACTAGTACTAGTACTACTACTACTACTACTACTACTACTACTACTACTACTACTACTACTACTACTACTACTACTACTACTACTACTACTAGTACTAGTACTACTACTACTACTACTACTACTACTACTACTACTACTACTACTACTACTACTACTACTACTACTACTACTACTACTACTACTGCCTACCACTGTCAATGGTGTCTAGTCTCTGCCCTGCCTTGGCCGCACTCCTAGCAAGACTCATAGAAGGAAAGGCTGCTTCAGCGGGAAACGATTAACTAAATTTCGCTGTGATATGCTGCAGGACCCTGCGCAGCAATTATGCGCACCTCCAGACTCCAGACTTCTTGCTTTCGCAGGCAGCCAAACTCTTGCCCCCGAACTCAGTGGATGCTGTCGACTTGAACTGCGGCTGTCCCCAGGCGCGATGCAGCCTGCGAAAAGCAGAGCTTGCCTTGCACTCTTATAAATGCCGACAGGTAGTTCTCTACATGCGCTGTTCAGAATCTGTGCATATGCTTTCGTTGCGATGAATATTGTCGGACAGGGCATCGCCAGAAAGGGACACTACGGAGCCTTTCTGCTGTCCGAGCCGGACGTGCAACTTGCTGTGAACGAGACCCTGGTTTTCCTGTCCCTTGGGGTTTACAGGCTTCGGATTTAGGGTGTTATTCGATAGGTTGGATGATAAACAACATATTCTTGAAGGTTCAGACGCAGTCATGCCGGTGGCGTTGTCTCTTCTCAGACTCACGAGGATTGAGGGCATTGTTCGGACGCTGGACCGAGAGCTCTCGGTACCCTCTACCGTGAAAATCCGGCTCGTGAACGCTAACGAATTACAGGAGCGGGACTTTGCCACAGACATGTCTGAATCAGCCATGTTTCAATAATAGTGTCTTTGAGAGCCGCAGGACACCCTGAACCTCGTCTCCCGTTTGGAGGCTTATGGACTGAGACACTGAGAGATTGAGGGATACCACAATTCCCAGCTTTTGATTTGTGTCGGCAGGCCGCAGGGGCCTCCGTGCTTTGCCTTCATGGCCGCACCAAGGCTCGAACTGAAGTTCTCCCTACAGTTCTTTGACGTCCCGAAGCCTTGCAGGAGATGAAGGGCCAGTCTACCGGCCCACCCAACTGGGCCAAGGGCTCAAGCTGCAGAGAAGCGGAGACTACATCGTATGGCAGGCATTTGAATGCAATGCCGGCAGGGCTACCCAGACCTGCAGATCTTGAAACCTGAAACAACACCCAACTCTGGCCTGTGCCCTAGATGCCTGAATCCAAGTCCTATTTCCTATAATCCTGCACCCCAAACCTAGACCCCCCAACTACCCTCTATTATACACCAAATCCGCACTAGTAAGGACCACAAGGGCTCCATTCAAGGGCCATTGGGGGGTCCTGGAAGATGGCAACTTCAGGACGCAATCGCAGCGGTCAAGCGCCGAGTCGGCATCCCGCTCATTGCAAACGGTGGAATCCACACGCCCCCCGGCTCCTTTTTGGGATTTAGGGTTTGAGGCGTAGGGCTTACGATCCTGAATTAAGATGATATTTGCTCTTTTTCCCCTTAAGATGATATTAGAGATGTCTGCTTGTTTGGAGGGTCTGTCGCAAAAAACGAAAGCATGATGAAGCTGCTTGGTCTGAGCCTGTGCGAAGGCATTCGCCGTGGATTTGCTGCTTGTGTTAGAACTGATATTTTCACTCACTCAGACACTCCATTGATTGATTTGTTAATCAGCATCAGTCTGACCTGTCCAGCTATCTGCTAGTGCTGCGGCACCGGCTTCAGCATATGTCTGTCACAGACACGTGCGCTGTGCAAGGTTTGAAGACGTCGAACGTTGCATGCAAGCAACGGGCGTGGATGCGGTCATGCCCTCAGTGAATACATCAGTGCTCATTATAGGTGCAGACAAACTGTTGATGGTCGATTTGACTTGCATGGGATGCCTGCCGCACAGCTGCATGTAACATGCTTGTGCGAGTTGTCGACCTCGTTAGAAAAGCCGCGGATTTTTCGTTCAAAAGGCCAACTCTCAGCTGGATGCGACATGCATGAATCGGCAAGTCGAAACCCATTCTACCACAGCGACGGTACTATCGAAGGCACTAGAACTTTGCCTAAGCCTCAAATTCGAGCCGTACAGCCCGGTGCAAAGACACAGACACTCCACCCACCACAGAGCACGCAAGAAGTATGTCTGTTGCAGAGACGACGCCGGTGGTGGTGGGAGTGGCTCGCTACACACACCGGATCCAAAATGCGGATCTCTCCGATGCCCTGACTCCGCTGCAGCTTTTGGAAAGAACGGTGACAAGGGCGCTGCAAGATGCCAACCTAATTGGTACTGACATCGATTGTGTCGCGACGATGGAGTTCTGGCATGAGATGCTCGTGCCACCCAAGACCCCGAAGCATTATCCGAACCCGCCCAAGTCTGTTGCTACCCTGATCGGTGCAGCCGAGGCCATTGAGAAAAATCACTTGTACGCCCACCCCACAGGGGGCAATGGACCCCAAGAGCTGATAAACATTCTGGGAGAGATGATCTCAACATCCAAGATTCGATCAGCTGTCATTTGCGGCGCTGAGGGCCTGGCAGGCTTGAAGAAAGGTCTTGCTGCCGGCATGTCTCTTCCGGGCGTAACGGAGATGCGAAGGAAGCTCTCCGACAAGAAAAAGAGCCAACTCGACACTTCGGGCAAGGAGCTGCCATGGGGAGACGACCCTGGTGGTGAACCACAGCGATTTCTCAAATCCGAAGGCATGGCAGCGTACGTGACAAAGCGGATGGTCCAGACCGGATTGGTTGACCCCACCGTTGCTTACGCGATCTTCGAGCAGGCCTACAGGAAGGAATGCTATCCTAATGTCTCCCGGGAGCAATACCAGCGCGAGCTGGCACGCCTGATGTCCGAGTTCAGTCAGCTCGCAGCTGCGGATCCTGCGAATGCTTGGGATCCACAGGCGAGGACCCCAGAGGAGATCGCCACACCTGGGCCTGGCAACCGCTACGTCGCCTTCCCATACACTCGGGCCATGAACTCTTTTATCGATGTGGACCAAAGCGCTGCAGTCATCCTGATGCTTGGCACGCATTACTTGTAGTAATCTTTGAGATGATGATAGTTTTGGGCGTGTTAGATCGTCTTCGAGCCCGTCTGCTCAGAGCTGCACTCCGCAGAATCGCCACTGACAGGACAACTATCCGCCATGCATTCTGGTACAGCCCTGAACCCTGTTAGTCGTCTCGAATGCTTCATAGTGTCACTGTCGTGTCCATCGTGGTTCACTCAGTGTCGCTGGCTTGTTTGGGCTATTTACACCTGGCAGGTGGCAGGATCTGGCAAGGCCATGATAAAAAGTTGAAGGTGTTGAGTTGCACAAGCACGAAAACGATAGGAAATGATGGGAACCTCTGCAAGCGGGAGTTGAAGAGCCAATCCCGAAGGCATCGTTTGCAGAGATAAGGGCACCTTGATTTAGGCTTGTTGCACTTGTGGATACGAGTTGCGGTTCCCAGGATGTCTCTGGGAGAGGCTCGGCGGCGTGGAGTCCCGGAAGAGAAGTTTGTCTTCCTTCATGCGCACTCGGATGTCAAGGAAGAGCCTTATCGGATGCTGGATCGCCCAGACTTCACGGTCTCCCCGGCACTGCGCGTGATCCGGCGCCGGTTGGAGGAGACGTTGGGGGAGCCTTTGTCTGGTATCAAGCACAAAGAGATCTACTCTTGCTTTCCTGTGGCTGTCCGACATGCAGCACTGCAGCTCGGTATACCCTTCCTACATGCCTCCGATATTTGTAAGACCGGGGGGATGCAGTTTCATGGAGGGCCCGGCAACAACTTCAGCACCCACAGCATTGCTTTGATGGTGGAGATCCTTCGCAAGGATCCCGGCTCCAAGGGACTGGTGACCTCAAACGGAGGGATCTTCTCCAAACATTCTGCCGGGGTCTATTCCACTCAGCCTTGCAGCTGGGTGCCTCGACACGCGGACGAGGACCAGGAGCGCGCAAGGCAGCTTCTTGCCAGGCACCACCCCGTGCCAGTGAAAATGAACGACCAACCCTCGGGAGAGGCCACTGTCGATCTCTGGACCGTGGTCTTTGATGTCGAGAACAAGCCGAAACGAGCGATCATCATAGGGACGCTCACTGCAACCTCGGAACGCTTCATCGCCGCCAGTGCCTTGGACGCGCTAAAGCACCGTTGAACAAGCTCAAGTCGTGCTTACATGTCGAGTCTTGGGCCGGAAGTGACTCAACGCCATAAATCCGTACCCTTCCGCCATATCCGATATCCCACCTTCGTGGAGCCTGAAGCGAGCCAACGTGCACATCAGGCAATGTAGCATCGAAGACTGCAGAAGCAAGGATTTAATTTCCAAAGTTCCACATCAACTCGGCACATGTCAGAATGCTCAGGTGCATCAGGTTGTGTACTCATTGTACAGTCATCGATTTCATGTACTCATGGATGTGCGTAAGCACAGATAGATACACATGCATGCATACATACATACATACATAGACAGCCGTGCATGCATACATGCATGCATTGGCACTCATACGCAGTCATAGGCAGACATACATAGACATACGTATGTTCATGTGATATACATGTGTATATACATATTATACACATATGACAATATATGTATTTATGTACGTATGTATGTATGTACGCATGTATGTATGTACGTATGTATGTATGTATGTGTACACGCATTTCTGGTTCTGTGCGGAGATGCGTCACGCAGGTGTGTGTGTGTATATATATACACATACATATACACGCACATTGTCGTGGAAATGTCAACGACACTGACAATGTCTATGTCCATGTCTATGGATGTACGGCTCACGGGGTGTGCATAATGCGTACACAAAGGTTGGTTTATGCACACATGCATGGGTCATGTCATCTCAGATCAAGTTATACTTTCCCGCTGCGGTACATGTGTAGTAGGTTATTACTGTCTAGGCACCCAAAACCCTGAACCCCATCAACCCCGAAACCGCTAAAGAGCCCTAAACCCTAATGAGCTAACGCACTAAACCTCTGAACCCCTATGCCATCAGACTGCCATAAGATCCAAAACCTGAATCTGAACCCAAGGCGCCGAAGCTGACATCGTCAAGGCACTCCTGGAGCGGGACACTTTTGGCATCCCCTGCTCGGTTCAAACGACACCCGAAGGGAAATCGACTTTCCAGCTCCATGTGCCCTCGAGGCTTTGAGACGCCTCGATTTTGGGATTTAGGGTTTCATGATGCTGTTGTGGGGAGAAGGAAATCTTTTGTATGCTTCGTTCCTTGGGCCGTCCTGATTTTCCCAAAGCTTTGCACGAAATTAGTCCAGCGCCGAGAGAGTGGCGGATCTCGGACATGCCGTTTGGGCTGCAACCCACGCTCGGGTGCGGGTTGTGTCAGAGTTCGTTATTCTTCCAGGCTGGCAAGACCATGCACAGTATCGTCACACTTGTTCATTATCGGAGTGTTCAACACCGTAATCGCAGATCTGAAACAGATGGGGGAGGCAAGAAGATTAAATCTTGGTCGCCATCTCGGTCAGCAGTGCTGGACCAAGACTGGGCCGGCATGATACAACGCAAACTAAACTTTCAAATGCCACAGGGTTCGTGGATAGTTAGGTTAGCAAGGACTGAAGTAGGCCTTCAAAGGATCGGAGACTCAAACTCAGGGTATCTTGAGGACAGGAGATGTAGTTGCACGAAGTTTTGGCTGGGCCTTTGAATTATCTCCCGCGCGCCATGCCAAACCCTGAGTCGCTGCATCAGAGCCCTTGTGCATAGAGTGGAGGTTAGCAAAAATAGTCCCAAGGAAGGGCCATGCCCTCAGAGTCTGTGTGGCTGCGCAAAAAGGGAGACCGGCCAAAGCGTCGAGAACTCCAGTCAGCAGGTGTCTGCACAGTTCGCAAACCCCAGTCAAAATCAGAGCGGACTTTTTGCGCTGGCAGCGACATCTACTGGTACCACCCGACTATGTCCTACTGTTATCTGTATGTTTGTGTGTTTACATACATATTACAGGTTATATGTAGACATGCATGCAGATGCAGGCCGAACTGAGCTGCACAACAAACTTATCGACCAATTAGTCAGTTGTATATACACACCTACAAATCTAACAAATCTACATATGTACACACATATTTATTCGCCCCCCGCCTCCCGGATCCATCATCCAGGTGATGTCAAGCGAGTCCCTCCTGGAGTACCCTGCCTTGTTCTCCGGGCCGATGGCTGCGAGGCATTCGGATAAAACTCAAGCGGAGACGAATTACGTCCACATCCATGTTCACATCCGTACCTTATGCGTCTATCTCTATGTCTGTGTGTCTCTCTCGTCTCTCGTCTCTCGTCTCTCGTCTCTCTCTCTCGTCTCTCTCGTCTCTCTCGTCTCTCTCTCTCTCTCTCTCTCTCTCTCTCTCTCTCTCTCTCTCTCTCTCTCTCTGTATATATATATATATATATAAAGAGATAAATGGAT